GCTCCGGCGAAGGGCTAACGCTCGAAACGTCAGCTTTTATCATCGTAACGGTGGCCAATTTACCATTTCAACTTTATTGATATATTCAAATTATTTCGTTACCCCTACCGACGCAGCCCCAAACAGTTCTTTAGAAACTGTCAGCCTTTATTCATATGTACACATCAGTTCAGTTCGCTTTTGAGTACATGGTCTTATTTCTATTCTGCGTCCTTATTTTTGAAACTGGTCAATTTTCATTTGCAGACTTCTCGGTAAGAGCTCGGCTCCCTCAGTGAGACTACTTGGGACGAAACCCTTAGGCAAAAGCGTTAAAAGACACCACGAATTTTCAAACATACTCATTCGTAGAAGAACCGGTCTATTATTGGAGAGAAGATGTTACATGAAATACGATATATAGCTCTGACTTCAAAGAAAGTTACCAAACTAACTTCCACTGAAAGTTGATTGGACATATTCACGTAAAATTATTTACTTTATCTGGCACATGATGATGGGGCCCAGAAACCATATCCTTGGCTACCAACACTTCTCCCTGTTCGTTAAGCAGTCTCTCCCCTTAGGACTCCTTTCTCCATCCAGCTAAATCAAACCAAACTCTGCCGTTCTCTTTTACCAAGATTTGTAGGTTTTTTTCTTCTGTCCAATTTTACACTTAATAAAGAAATACTCGCCGGCTGGACCTTTCAGAAATGGACCGACAATATCATTCAACTCCTCTCGCTAGCCTGTTCAATTCTAGCATGCGCAATAGCCTCTTTTTGACAATTACATCTACCTCCAAGTGCATCTCCTACATTTATTAGCTGTAAGAAAAACAAGCACACTTTTTCTATCAGCCTCTATCCACACTGAAAAAAAAAAAATGAAAACATATGAAATTTTTTAAGGCAAGACAATAAAACAAAGCAGAACAAGGGAAAGAGAAACCAAAAGCTCTGCGACTGTTCTGCCACAGTTAAAAAGAGAAAACTCCCCATACCCTGCCTGGAATTCAGGTAGAAACCAAGCCAAATAAAACTAAGAACCCAGTGCTGCTAATACCAGCCATTACAGGAAAAGCTCTTTGATCCCCTTGTACCTTGGGCAACCCTTATTCTTTTGAAAGGGAAAAGAAACCCGGTTTTCAAAACTACAGCCAGAAATATATGTCATAAATCATCAACCTCGTCCCAGGGCCTTTTCCCTTACTTGGAGGAGGGGAAAAAGCCATGGGAACGAGGTTGGTAAATTTCAAAGAAACCTAAAAACGACCTATACAAAAATATACTATCAAATAAGACGAGAAAAATTAATTCAAAGATGCGACGAGAAAATAAAAATTACCAAATGCTGAGGGAATATACGAAGCACTAAACACTCGTAGCAAAAGCGGCCGTTTACATCGAAGCAAAATAAATCACTTTGCCTACAAGGGGCTTAAATATTAAATATAACAACAATGCACGGCGGAGATAAACGAGTGCATTGGGGGCTTAATACATTTACAACATTTAGGACTTTATGACATCTGGGACAATTATTACACCTTTTGCTGTTCATCACGAGAAAATACGCATTCATTTGCGTTAAAAGGCGAACAGTTGTGTGAAAATATAATCATTAGAGACAAAAAACCGTCATTTGCGCGTAAACAAGATTCGATAACGATTTTTGCATTCTAATCAGCATTCAATAACAATTATGGGCATTCTTATTCAGTCATTCGTCAAACAAACGAGAAAAAGATACTTTCATTTGCGCTAACATTCAAGCCATTTCAACCATCTTGAAAGTCAATAGGGACAATACACAGACAGTTAATATAACAATTCAATAGCACCACTGGACGGAATTGGTCTGAATAAGACAATTATTAATGCACTTGTACAAACAAGTCAGTGTTTTTTATATTCAATATGCAAGTAGCGATTTTCAACTGAACAGCGATTTTGCTTGCATTTTCATTCAGTAGAGTTCGTCCGGTTAATTCGCTTCGAAGAAACCGAATATTACTCTAACACAGAGAGAGAATCGTGAGAGGATTGAGGACGAGGAGGAAGATTATCTTGTGGTCGCGGACTCACTCGGAGTGAACCGATCAACGGCAAGAGGCATTGTGGCGCGCTACATCAGAGAGGGCAGGATCCAGGAGAGGTCACGAGGAGGTAGAAAAAAGGCGCGCGTGGATGATAAGATGAGAGAGATTGCCTAGAGGAAATCATCAACGAAAACTATTTACTCACTTGCTCGGATAAACTACCACTTAAACCCGAGATCCATGAACGCACCGTGGCGAGGACATTAGACGGGATGCTCTTCTGAGTGAAACTTGCAAGGCCCCTCCCTGCTGACAAAAACAGACTTGATGTGCTGAACAAGCGAGTCGATTACGCCACTTGAATTAGGAACCATGCCGTAATGATGCGCCAGTGTGTTTGTCCACGAATGCGGCTAGAACATCTGGATGGCCAGAAGCCACGGTAGAGCGCGATAGGGAGAGAGGGCGTACCGTCAAGTGTGCGGGCGGTGCGGACGAAACTTGACCGTGACCATGGCAATCCCACCTATCAATGGACTTGTGTTTTCTTCAGCAGCTGTTGGCGGGATGAATGCTGCGTGTTTCGATAACTTCTTGGCACAGGCGAGGACAAATCTAGATCCCGATGAGGAGGTGATCTTTGTGTATGACGGAGCACCGGCCCACCGAAACCCTGTCGTTCCCGCCCCAAACACGGAGCTTAAAATGCTTCCTCCTTACAGTCGTTTGCTAAACATCGTGGAGCAGGCAATAAGATGTTTGAAAGCGGCGTCAAGCTGACATTTCACATCCGGAAATTCAAAGATGCATGGATAACGGACATGAGGCCAGAGACAGGGGGAATCCCCGTAGGGGAGTTTAGAACACAGCAACTGCTCGAAGCTTTGCACAGAAACATCGACACTGTGACTGTGGCTAAAAGTGCGCAGTGGTACCGCTTTATGCAGACCTATCTACCAAAATGTTTGAATCAAGATATTATTGAAGGGTAAACTGAAATTCAAAACAAAATGTTTCTAGAATAGGTATATTTCAATTGAAATTCGATGTGTGAATATTGAAAATAAAAGACGCTCAATTGTTTGTACAAGCGCATAAGTGATTGTCTTATTCATACTAATGCTGTCTAGGAATGCTATTGAATTCAAGACAGTGTGATAAAAATGTAAATGAATGCCATCTGCACTATACTATTTGTTTATTGTCTCTATTGACTTTCAAGATGGTGTAAATGACTTGAAGGTTACCGCAAACGAGAGTGTATTTTTCTCTTTTCTTTGACGAATGACGCATAAGAACGCCCAAAATTGTTATTGAATGCCAACTAAAATGCAGAAATCGTTATTGAATCTTGTATACGCGCAAATGACGGTTTTTTGTCTTTAATGATTGTATTTTCACACAATTGTTCGCCTTTTCACGCAAATGAATGTGTATTTTCTCGTAATGAACAGCAAATGGTGTACATTTAGGCCTTCTATAGAGGATTTCTGTTGTTGGAATATGTTATTTTCTTGATTCCTTTCATACATCTCTATTTACCTTTTGCACCCATTACCTTACGTCGCCTTTTAAGTGGACATCCACATTGAGATGAGTAATATATAGATTTAATCAAGCCTAAAAGCGGAGCTCCCAAGTTCGTGCATTTGCCAAGACTCCCCTGAGACACCCCTCCCTTCGTTTTGATAGTCTCCCCTACCCTCCCGTGCAATCTGAAGGCAAGTACGTACGTACGTACGTTCGTTCAGTCAGGTAACAACCAAATGAAAAGAGGTTGACCATATTCCATGGGTATGGGGCTCTGCCCAGCTATAAGAGCTCACAATACATCGTAAATACTAGTCAGAGGATTTTTTGGTGCGACAGCTGTTTTACGTTTTAAAGAAGAAAGGTACTCTCTATTATTCATCTTGAAAAGCAGAACAGAAGAAAGAGATTCAGCGACTAAATTTGCATACTTCACGGTCGATTTGACCACGGGCGCTAAAACCTGTCAAGTTGAAGTGTAAACCTTGAGACATCGCGTAGATTCAAACGAAGGTGACTGTTGTCGAGGATCGTTCCTACTGACGAACGACTGAGGCACATCCTCTATTCACTCCTATCTTGATTAGCGACAATTTTCTCTCGATAATTTTCTCTCTTTGTCAGGTTTCTTTATATTCGATCATTGAAACAACACACCTGAGTAATATTTATTTTTTCGACCTCATCTGAATTCGTTGTTTGCTTGATTTTTTACAGTAAAGGTGATTAGTCAGTTTTGGTAAGTAATCCCAGTACAGTACTCGCATTGTAAACAAATTGACTAGATTTTCTGTTCTTAATACTATTTTTGGAAACATTTCCGAACCGAAGCCGTTCTTGTATTTTAATTAGGCGCCTAATAAAAAACGTGAAGTACGCATGCCAGCAAGATTAAACCCAGATTAATTAGAACCAAAATTTACAGAAACTGGCGAAGTCTTGAGATCATGCACTTCTAAAGTGCAAAATATTCTGAAAGTTTTCAAACTAAAAAAAGAAAGACCACTAAGTTAAGCAAATATCAGAGGATGTCTGTTGGACACAAACACAACAAAACTGCTGCTTGACTGTAACTACGTAAATTAAAACAGGAAAAATTTCGCGCTTGTTCGCTGACGTGGCGTACACAGTAAAACTTCGATGTTTTAATCCTTGAGCGCAATATTCTGCGTCAAACAACAGATAAGCTGACTCTTTGAGGAAACTTTCTCGGCTAAAATGATTCTCGTGAAAGCCATATTTTGTCTACTCTGTTGCAGCTCGATCTTTCAAACTCTGAGCGGGGTCAACAGCACATCCAAACAAGTCACATCCGACAAAACTCCTGATGCTTTGACATCGAGCAAATGCCACAATGTTTACTTCAACAACTATTATTCTGGACCAGCAAATAAGGACATCAAGGCACATCTTCTCAAAATCGAGAATCAACTCGCAAAATTAGAGAAAAAAATCGATGCTTTGACGGAGAACAAAACAACTCCGCCAAGTGAGTTTCTGTAAATTTATAGCATATTACTCATTTTGCCGAATTATAGGATACTAACTACATTTCTTCGATGCCTCTCAATAGCTATGAAAAATTGTGCTGAGCTGTATAAATCCGGCCAAAGAGTCAGTGGAGTTTACACAATCGACCCCGATGGTTTGGGTTCGTTTGATGTGTTTTGCGACCAAAAATCTGCCAGTGGGGGATGGACAGTGTTCCAGAAGAGACTCGATGGCTCCGTTGATTTCAATAACCGCGGCTGGGGGGACTACAAACGTGGCTTCGGAAACCTGAATGGTGAGTTTTGGCTCGGACTGGACAAGATACACCGCCTGACAAAAACAAAGAGCAGACTGCGAGTGGAGCTTGAAGACACACAAGGAAAGACAGCTTACGCGGAATATGACATGTTCTCTGTTTCCAGCGAAAGAAACAAATACAGACTTGGCCTTGGAAAGTATAGCGGTAAGTCTTTACAATCTGTATATTTGTCAGCCAGAATAGTTCTAACGAACAAACGAATTATAGCGATTCTTCCTTTTTATTACCACACAATCTTTTGCTAATCAGATGTGTTTTCGTCGCAGGAACTGCTGGTGATTCTCTGAGCTATCATCGTAACATGGCATTCTCCACCAAAGATCGCGACAATGATAATTCCTCGAGCAACTGCGCGGCAGGTTATAATAGCGCCTGGTGGTACAATAAATGTGTACTTGCCAACTTAAACGGCTACTATTACCACGGTCCGCATACTTCGGCCGCTTGGCGTGGTATCAACTGGTATCACTGGAGGGGTCATAGCTACTCCGCTAAGAGAGCTGAAATGAAAATCAGGCCCGTGCAGTTTTAGGCAAGAAACACAAATAAGGAATACACTACATCAGCTATAGTTTATCAGCTCTTCCACACAGTTGAGTGACACGGAATAAAAATCAATGTAATGTGATAATTGAATGGGCCTGACACAAAGTTATGGGTTTGATTAAAAAATAAAA